CAGTAAGTAGTTTCAGCGTCTGACTATTATCTTCACGATAACAGAAGTCCAGCAATTCCAGTGATTCCGAGCAGGATGACCTATAGATAACATAACTAGAACAAGTTGAAATCTGAATACGGATTGAGGACTCACTCGCAATATTCTCGAAGTTTCTGAGCGACCTCCACCTCCAGATAGTCCTCCTCTGCAATTCGAGCTATCGCCTTGTATAGCCTGAATACCGTTTTTCAACAGATCGATAGAATGGGTTTACGGTATGGGTGCAATCTCAGAAACTCTTCCAATCTTAAATCCCAGCCGAATAGCCCTATATCTCCTGTCTAGACACTGTTCACCATTTACAACCTTCCCCCCACCCCTTTCGAACACGGAGTGAACTTCTCCCGCATTTTTTCCCGAAAAAGTTTTCCGTCGAAGACTCGTCTCCAAAGGTTCACAATAAAACTGATCTCTGAAATCCTTCTCTACCTCTATAGGATAAATCTGTGATTTCCGGGGATAGCCCAAGAGACGCTGTGGGATAGAAAAATGGGCTATATAAAGCGTAGTAAGGGTCACAAGGCCGGCTTAACTGACGTACATATCCAAAGGCGGACGAGTTGGCACAACGTTGTTGAGGGCGCAGAGATTCCTCGATTTGCACCAGGATCCATACGTTGAACGCAGACAGTGCACAGTAGTAAGCTAACGCATGGGACCCATATTTGGAGAGCTCGTCCCAATACTCCTTCCATGCATCTTTTGTCGTTACCTTATCGTCCAACCCTTGATCTTTCAACTTTTTTGAAACCCTATATTTCCCTAAACGTGCCGATTCTCGCGTTTCCTTTTCATTCTTTGCGCTATTCTGAACTATCACTTCCGATATTCGTTTAACACTAGATACCCCAAAATTAGCGTAAACTGTGCGCTCAGTTCAATCGAAAAGTAGATAGTGTCTTTCCCTATAACCCTACCGTAAACCTTTGTTGAAAAGGTGACAAATGATCAGGTTATTGAAAGGTCACCTGGCAGCAACGAGACTTTTAGCCATTGCATCCTCTCCATGTAACCACATACACTTGGCCATTTCAGGTCGTCGTGTCAGTACCGCCCATAAAATGAGATCGTTGAACGGGTAGGCGAAATCAGGAGGGGCATCTAAAACTAGAACATTGGATGTGGTTACCAGGTGGCCCATTTAGGACATACCGTCTTCACATTGCATCGGATTCAGCCAATCGCCACTTTTTCGGCGTTTCGCTGCTGATTTGGCAACCAAACGGATATGGAGACTGCTCAATCGGGACAGCTGAAAACATCCTCTTCACAGTTCGGCCTTCACAATAAACCAGCTCCAAACAGAAAATATACCTGTGCTTTTTTCCGAAATTTCTCGTAATTATTCTTGAATACCCTTGAAGTGTAATAGTGTTTATAGGCATTTCCCATTAATTTTTCGATAATCATTCCTATGTCAGGTAAAGTGAGGTAGGTAGTGGGTGAGGTATGTTCGACTAAAAACCGTACACTGTGCTGTGCATCGTCGTCCTGAAAAAAACCTCATTGATGAGTTAGACTGGTGAAATAGCAAAAATGGGAATGAGCATGGAGGAGCAGTTCAAGAGCAGTTCGATACCATGAACGCAATGTATGCTCACGCTCCTTTTTTGTTGCTCTTTGGGAACTCTGCAACATGGCAGAAGTAGGAGTATGTCACCGGTGATGTATTCAGCAATGAACGCCGGTGACACGCACTTTAAGCAGACCATTGCAGTCACTGAGTGAACGCGTCTTCTTCAGGATAGGTAATAAGATCGAGTAATCGACTTTCCAGCCCAGTCTCCAGAGGAGAGAATAGCATCAGAACAGTAGTAATGCGGGGGAGCATAGCCAAATAGGGCACAGATTGAGGAGGGCTACCGTCGAAAAGCCGACGTGAAGGGGCGGGACTTCCGCACCCCTCAATGATCAGATAAGTGGGGTGGAGCTCATTCTGAAAGTTGCCACAGTGAGGGCTGAAGAGGGTAAGGTCGTCGAAGTCGCTATGTAAAATCCAGTAGAATCTGTCAACATCTCCGCGAAAAGTATTGTATGGAAGCAAAAGGGAATGTATAAGAGAGACAACATCGCAATTAAGTGGACTTCTTACTGTTTCGTCAGTATAAATCAAACTTACTAGATTGTAGAGCTGTTCCAAAGTGGCTATGGTGAGAAAGCTCTTCATCGATACTCCATTTTCCAAAAGGCATTCAACAAAATCCACCTAAAAAAGCGATTATGGAAAGTATCGGGTATCTTGGGGAAGGTAGCCATAACATTCGAGTTCTTTTATTTCGTAAGACAACGTAGAATTGCTTGCGAAGTGATGTCTACTCCTAGACTTCATCTGCTTAATGAGATTCGCGATCCTTACCACATATGTAACACCACCTTCTTTCCACCACTTCGCATCCATGATGTATTAAGCTACACAACGGGCACTTCTGATGATTTGAATAGAGTTCCTTCTCTTTTCTCTCCCGTACAATCTTTCCTCTCTCCTCTCCCTCTCCTCCCTTTTCTCAGTCCCATTCCCCAAACTCCCATATTTCTCCTAATGGGCAAGAACAAAAAGCGCAAAGCTGTCGACTAACCCTTGATTTCTTTTGCTATACATCCTAATGTTCCTTACCGGCTGTCACCACCTTTCCACCCATGAATACTCCAACACTACCAACTTTATCATCTATCACCAGAAACGCTAAACCAGCAAAGCTAAACGCATAATGAGTTTGGTGACGTCCTTATCGCACTGTATCGCTCTTTATCATATGTTATCTACTTCTAGTACCCAATATCCATGTCCCTACTAATTTGCCTACACAGAACCATTATCAGTGTGGAGCCCTTACAGTTACAATCATTTTTTTCCTACCTCCCAGGTCTTAATCGTTTCTATCTCTTCTTTTCTTTAGGTATTAATCCCACGCCGTCGCAGGATCCGCTGCTCATCGTTTCTATCTGTAAACTCTTATTCTGGACCGAAGTTCCGACCGGGAGGCGAAAGTTGTGTATTTTCAGCTTGTAAACATAGAAGAACAATAACATACTCTCTAACGAAACAAATTTGGTACCGTAATGAATTTTGTACGGTTCACACAAAGTTTAAAAATCCACCGACTTGCTCCACGAAATATTTTCATCAAAAATCGACATTCACCGGAAATTGCTACACTTTAACCGGTTCCCTTGTCTTTCAAAAATTTTCTTACCCGATTAAGACGAAGCGCGTCATTCATGGCGGAATGGAGGGCATGAATTGGCCAATGACGTCCGCCAGAGAACAGACATGAGCGAGCGACGTCCACTCGATTCCATGACAACGTCAGGGATAACTGAAAATACTAGCGGTCAAGAAGGCAAGGATGGAGAGCACAAAAAACTAAAGTTGGCCGATATAGCTCTATTTTGAATCAGAGTCAGAAATTGAAATCAATTCGAAAGAGTCAGATCGGAGTACGGGCAGGGAACCTTATAGGCAGAAATATGAGGCGCTTGAGAACGAGTCATAGTGACTCTTTCGAGCAGTGAAATGGACAAACACCGCTTATTGGTTACGAAGTCTCACAGCAGCATGTCTAGAGCTACTCCGCATCCTCACTTCCATGTCATGTCAAGGATAGATATGGGTGAAGAAAGTAAATTAAATTCAGAATCAAATTTTAATAAATAGTAGTAAATGAGGGCCGGTAGTTTACTGTAACATCGTCCAATACAACGCTTTCTCAACTCCAATGGCGCTAACACATTTCAGTCAATGTGCACATTAGTTCTAACAATTATTCTATGTATACGTAGGCTGCCTTTTATATTTCGGGATTAGAAAAAAATAAATATTATAATTGAAAATTGCTTTATTGTTTTTCAAATATACCCTACTAAGATCTACACTTTTGCATGCGTTTGAACCAATTGTCGAAGCCCTAGCAACTCCGATTGAGGTACAGTCGCGGCCAAAAGTTTGAAACTTTTTATTTTTCGATATAGCGCGGGCACCGAATTAAGTAACTGTCTCAATTTTGCATAGTAGATATAAAAGCAAATAAAAAACACGATAGGCAATGTGTTTTTTCGAGACCAGATGATTAGAGTTAAAAAACAAGATTTATTG